TTTTCTTTAGCAGATTGAGCTTCGGGACATACTCGAGAGGTAGCGGTTCATTCCAGACGTGCCCTTGAGTTATCTTTACTTTCAGTTTTGTTCTATTCGAGAACTATACTCTGAGACTTGTATATTTTTATTCGAATTCTGTATTTAGAGGTTTGTACATGCGACAACCAAATTTTGGGTAGTGTTGAGTCTTAATTAAAGTCTTCCGCTTATTTATTATCTTTTATTCTCGTATTTCTACTTCTCTATCGTTGTGGTTGGGTTAGGCTGACGTGTCCGGTGGGAAATGGACATGTGCCATCACATCCGGATTTGGGGTGTGACAATTAGGAAGATGGGGATGCTGATTGAAGAGGTTTTTAATCGAAGAGGAAATCGAGTAAGAAGCTTGTGTAATATCTTCTATACACGGCTTCTTCTTTTTACCACGCAATACTTGCAATTTGTTTGCTTTTTATTTTCGGGGGTTAAAGATGACTCTAGAGCAGCTACTTGTATAGCTCAATAGTTTTATCTACATTTTACTTTGATGCTGCTTAGTCCTAGCTCAGTAGCTTCTTGTTTCTGTTGCTACTAACTAAAGATGCAGAGAGCCAGAGACATAGTATGGAAGTTCAGGTGCAAATGAAACAAGGAGAAGGTTTGGACTGAATTATTTTCCACTCTCTTGGGTAGTTGTTAACCAAGATCACCACGTATGAACTATATGATTTTTTATGATTTCTATAATGTGTCCATGTCTAATGTATTTTGAGCTTTGACAGTTGTTATTGAAATATTTTAAAAATTATTAAAATTATTTAACATAATAATTAATAAAATTACTTTATTTGAAGTCACATTGATAACAAATATGCATAAGTAATGATTTACAAGTTATTAAATCGGCGTAATTGAAATTAAAATGTGTTTAGTTATATATCACAGAGACCAAAAATTACCTACCTGAAAATATGATAAATTAGAGTAGTATATAAGGGAATGTTTGGAATTTTTTTTTAACCATAGGTTTCAGTTTGACCAATGAAAATTAATAAAAAATAATAATTTATTGATTTGATGATCATGAAAATTAAATATACATACATAATTTTTTTAAATGGGAATTTGAGTATGCGCATTTGGAGGATCCAGCTCCTCTCCATTATCCCCAAGTTCTAGCTTGGATTGGAGACACATGTCATAGTTTAGAATTAATGGTTGAGATCTAATTGATTATATCAAAGTCCTAACCATAGTTATTTACTTTCATATATTTGCTTCTTAAATATTTTTCAATCCAACAATTCTAGATTTACATTATATTTTTTCTAAATATAATTAAAAAAAGAATTTATTTTCTTAATTATTTGAGTAATTTTTTGCTGATATTTTACTTTTTTCCCTAACGTTTTCCATTTCTCAAATAATATTTGCCAAATAAAAAAATTAAAAATTGTGACCTGACGTTTTTTTTTAATTTTAAGAGTAAAATAAATTTTTTGTCACTCAACTTTAAATTCTTTCGTTTTCCCTAAATGGAGTTCATATTGTTCTGTAGACACTATAGCTCTTAATACTCTATTAGAATATTAAAAACTTTTAACTGTATTATAATTTTTTTCAAAAAAAGTAAAAATATTTAGTAAAAGTTTTAAATATGTATGCAGGGCAATAAAGAATTTTTTAAAATATATTTATGGAAAATATAATGGATTGTAAAAATATTTAAGAAGCAAATACATGGAATTAAATAACTATGGTTAAGACTTTGCTTTAATCAATTAAATCTCAATCATTAATTCTAAACTATGACATGTGTCTCCAATCCAAGCTAGAACTTGGAAAAAATGGAGAGGAGCCGGATCCGCATTTGCGCATGTGTATTTGGTATGAAATATTTTTTCGGCCAAAAGAATTTTTCCTCTCATTCTCATATATGCTTATGACAAATTATATGTATGTATGTGGTTATAAATTTTACTTAAATGTAGGATATATATAATAAAAATGAGGAAAAAAATAGAAAACATGATGAAATTTTGCATTGCAAGGAGTGAGAAAGTAGTGATACTGGCATGCAAATTTTATATCGACGTTTGAAGTTTTACTTTGTAGACTAATGACCCTTTTATCAAGGACAAAATATATGGAAGCAATCTGGCTACAACATATTTAGAAGCTATGCTTAAGCAAAAAAAACCATGAAAAGTCAACATTAATGGGAAATATGATATAGGTGTGCATTTTTCATGTATTGGGAAAGAAAATATTCCCTC